TCTCTCTCTCTCTCTCTCTCTCTAAGTGTGTCACCCCTCTTAGCATTCCATCAACTCCTCTCTCTCTCTCTCTAAGAGTGTCACCCCTCTTAGCATTCTTCCTCCTCTCTCTCTATAAGAGTGTTACCCCTCTTAGCATTGCATCAACTCCTCCCTCCCTCTCTCTCTCTCTCTCTCTAAGAGTGTCACCCCTCTTAGCATTCCATCAACTCCTCCTCCTCCTCCTCTCTCTCTCTCTATATATACCAGAAACCCTCATGAGTCTTGACGCTCTCGATCTCTCGCCCCTCCTAGAATTCTCTCTCTAAGGCAACTCTCTTAGCTCTCTCTCTCTCTCTCTCTGTCTATCTCTTTCACTATAGCATCTCTCTCTCACTACAACATCTCTCTCTCTCTCTCTCTCACTATAGCATCTCTATCTCTCTCACTATAACATCTCTTTCACATTCATGGCTGGACTTGAGTGCAAGTACCTTGCTTTGTTTTTTATGTTGTTAGTGTGGGGAGGTGGAAATGCAGAGGAAGATGAGATGGCGCCTGCGATGTTCATATTTGGTGACTCCCTCATAGACAATGGCAACAACAACAATCTCCCTTCCTTTGCGAAGGCCAACTATTTTCCTTATGGAATTGATTTCGATGATGGCCCCACTGGTAGATTCTCCAATGGTTACACCATGGTTGATCAAATAGGTACTAATCACCCTCTCTCTCTCTCTCATGGTTTCAAGTTTTGTTTAATGGTTCACGGTTACATGTTGAACAAATAGGTATCGACCCCCTCTATCTGCCTCTAGCTCACGCGCACTTTCTCTCTCTATCTACCTCACTCTATAGTGGTTTTTGTTTTTTGATTCCTAGTTTGCTTCGTTGCATCGTGTCTGAGTCCTGACCTCATTTTTCTGGAGATATATGTTTCCTGGATCCCTTTGGTTGATGGATTTGCTTCACTTTGGTCTCTATTTTATCTCTTTTCCATCTGCTCTCTTTCTCTCGCTCTCAAGGTTTTCAATGTTGAAGGCCTTCTCTCTACACACAGTTACAGATATATCAAGGTTCTCAATGTTAAACGGTTTGGTTTTCTTTCAAGTGGGGCTGAATATTTCTATTTTGTAGTGACTTTCAACGGTTGATGGTTTGCTCTTTAGTTTCCCTTCTCTCTCTCTCTCTCTCTCATATCAAGACTGATTTGTTATTGATTATTCACTGAGTTGTTTTCCTTTTCTTTGTATCACTTTGGTTTATCTTAGTTTTTTATTTTATTTTTCAGCGCAAATGCTTGGGCTTCCTCTTATACCAGCATACACACAGGCCTCTGGTTCAGAGGTCCTTCATGGTATAAACTATGCCTCCGCAGCTGCAGGCATCCTTGACGTCACCGGAAGAAACTTTGTGAGTCCTCTCTCTCTCTCTCTCTCTCAATGCACGTACCATTTCAAGTCTTTGTTTTGCTATAATGCGTCATCTTTGAAAAGTTTAATAACTATTTTGTTATGTTAAAAGTAGCGAAAAAGTTTATATACTTGCGAGGCTCTAAATAATCAAATTATGGCTGATCTCAAAAATGCCATTAGAAAATGTTGTTTTGATGCCCAAATATCTTCAAATTGATCCTCTCCACTTCAAGATGCCTGAACATGAAAAAAAAAAAAATGAATTTCAAGTTTTGAAAGTAGTGCATCTTATCATGCATTCTTGGACCATCAATTTTGAAGATTTTTTAAGTTTTTAGACATTTGCTCGATCTAAGCTATTTTAGAATATTTAAATTTTATAATTAAAGATGAAAATATATTTTAAAGCTATACAAAGATTTCTAGTATTGAAACCACATTTTTTTGTAGTATTTGAGGGTAAGTTTTTTCTGTGATTGTTTAGAGTCTTTATTTTGAAATATTTAAATTTTATAATTAAAGATGAAAATATAGTTTAAGGCTGTCAAAAAGATTTTTAATATTAAAACCGCATTTCTTGATACTATTTAAAGGTACGGTTTTCTTTGATTGGTTAGAGCCTCGGCTTTGTACAAACCGCACCCCAAAAGTAATGATTCATTTAATGTTAAATTTGCAAATAAATAGTTCAAGAAAATATTTGATGCTAATCAAGAAAGAAAGGTAAATGACATCTTTATTTTTTCAGAAGTTCGGTGAGATTTAAGTCCCTTAACTCAAACGCCTAAAAGAAAACGGCAAAAACATTTAATGTTGCTCGTAAATGAATAAATAAGGTAAATAGACATTGAATAAGGCAATAAATGAGAGAATACTCATCTCACCTCCCCTTATTAATGACGTACAGTGCTCAGATTTATGAGGTGAAATTAACAAACGGCCTTTTTCTCCCTTTCTCTATTGATATTATATTCCATTAATGTTAACTTTTATCCTCCATTCATCATCCTGCAACCGATGTTTTTGAACTGTATCTCTCTTTGATTTGGGAACCTCAAATCCTACACTTAGTCAATAGAATTTCATTTAGGGTTGTTTGATAACAGGAAATTAGGGAGGAAGAAGGAATTTACTTCTTATTGTACAATTCATGTGCTTGATGCACAAAACTTATACAATAAAGAAGTTCCCCTAAAACTTCCTTAATACCTTTTTTTTAAAGAAAAAAAGTTTCCATCTATAATGAGTAGTGTTTAAAAAAAAGCTAAGCGGGTCCTAGGCAAATGAGTAGTGTTTAAAAAAAAGCTAAGCGGGTCCTAGGCAGCAGCCTAGAATTTGGGAGGCCCAGTGGAAAAGCACTCAAAATCTTCTAAAAAAACTCTCTAATAGATTTATAAAACATTCAAAATTAAATATAATATTATTTAGTGATGTTTTGATCAATTCCTCATCGCTTTGAAAAACCTTTCGATCTTAAGAAATCGTCAAAAGTTGGTTTTTTTTTTTGGGGGGGGGGGGGTTTCTCTCTCTAAAATGGATATAAAAAAAAAAAAAAATATCCATACCAAGTGGCTTTTCAACCAATAAGCAAGGCGTAGGCCCTGGGTGGCTACCCAGGGCTGGGTACCTACCTATGGTTTTTTGCATTTTCCTGGTGCTTAGGCTTGGATGATGTGCCCAGGCCTTTTGGACCGCCTCGATGGCTGCCCAAGCGCCAAGTGGTCTGCATTTTGAATAACTGAAAAAGATAGAATTTAAAATAAGAACTTGGCCCTCGCAGAGGGCTTCGTACTCAAACCTTATTTTGCTCTCCTTCCTTATATTGGTATTTACATTTATATTATATTATATATATTTTATATTTATCTCTATATTATATTGTAAGAAGTATTATACTTTATATAGTACAGTTATATATTAATAAAATATGTATGAAATACACTATATTATATATCATATTTATATTTATATTTATATTTATATTATTAATATAAATTTGTATTAAATATAAATATTTATATAATATAAGATAATTAATTTTATTTATCTAATAGATATTTACAATATTATATATAATATAGATATATATTAATGAAATAAATATAAATACGCTGTATTATATATTATGTTATATTATATATATTATATTTAGATTTAAATTATTAATATGTATTTGTATTATATATATTATATATTTATGTAACATAAAATCAAGATCTAGTAACCCTCAAGGTACAGACTCATGATATATTTTTGTAATGCAGGTAGGAAGAATTCCATTCAATCAACAAATCAGGAACTTTGAGAACACTTTGGACCAGCTCTCGGATCAACTGGGCGGCCCAGATCAACTTGCAGATTCGATCGCACGGTGCATATTCTTTGTGGGAATGGGGAGCAATGACTATCTCAACAATTACTTGATGCCTAACTATGCAACTCGCAACCAATACAACAGCCAACAGTTTGCTAACCTCCTCATCCAGCAATACACTCGCCAACTCAATGTAAGTCCTCCAACAAGGGTTTTTTGGTCTTTTTTACAGGGAATTTAGGCCTTAAGGGTACCATATTAAGGGATAGAAGGTTGCCCTTTACATAAGGGTAGTTTTGTCATTGTGTAGAAAAGGCGAGGCATCGAGGGAAATTTTAGTAAAAAGTGATATATTTAATGTTTTAATTTTTTATTGGTATTGGGTGTTCACATGTTAGCATTTGAAGATAGGATAATTCTACAGAGCTCTTTCAAAGGCTTTTGCCTAGTGGGATTAGAGTAAACCGAGCCTGACTCTCCCTAGTTATTCGAATCCGGCAGGCCATCAAGACCAAAACCAAAATCATCAGAATGGGCCATAATGTTTTTCGTCACTTTTATACTTGTTTTTTAGGGTCTCGTTCGAGTCCTGACTCGCCCATGTACATGTACAATTTCCCAACTCGGGCTCGAGACCCTACCGAGTCCCAACCCGATCTTTACTTTAAAACACTTGGGTGTGATCAACTAAGTTTAAGTGTATAAAACTAGTTATAAATGAAGATGACTTTAAACTTTCCTTTTAACTTATCCAGATTCAAGTAAAGGAGGTGGATCTCAGGTAGCGTACATAAAATTTTACTATATTTTATGGTGATAGCCTGCACTAAATCATTTGGATAAAGCTTGAATCACGATTCATTTCCCCTTTTTTTATGAATAGTAACAGTAGTAAAAATAGTACTCATACTCTCTCTCTCTCTCTCTCTAGAACCTGTATAATTTGGGGGCCAGGAAGTTCGTTTTATCAGGAGTTGGTCTGTTGGGTTGTATACCAAGTATATTGGCCCAAAATGCGAACAGTAGATGCTCAGACGATGTGAACAGGTTGGTGATGCCCTTTAACACCAACATGAAGGCCATGGTCAACAACCTCAACAATAACCTCCCCGCTGCAAACTTCATCTACATCGACATCTTCAGGATGTTCAATGACATCCTCAACAATGCTAGGTCCTATGGTACTTAACTATACCCTCTCTCTCTCTAAAATCTATATGGTACTGAAAACTACATCCTCTCCCTCTCTCTAAAATCCTTATGGTACCGGGAAGTAACTCTCTTTCTTTCTCTAAAATCTTTATGATACTTAAAACTACCTCTCTCTCTCTAGACTTCTTTTGTAGCTTCACTAGTAAGAAAAAAAAAGCTCATGCTTTTAATGGAAAACAAGAAGTACATAATAGGGAAAATTATAGATATCTTTTCAAAATAAACTTTATAAACATCTTATATCGCAATACTTTTTGTAGCACGTCCTAAATCTAAAGCTATTTTTTTTTGTATTTGCCCCTAATCAAAAAATTAATAAAATTTAGACACAACTATCATTTTCCCCACTCTTCCCTTAGACTCTCTCAATTTCTTTCTTTAAACTCGTGAGCCTCTCTCTCAATTTCTTTCTCTAACTCTCTATCTATGCCCTCCCTCTCTCCCCTTCTCTCTCTCCTCACTTTTTCTCTACCTCTCTCTTTGCCCACCCTCTCTCCCTTTCTCTCTCTCTACCGGCCCTCTCCATCCCTCTCTCTATCTATTCACGTAAAACTATTTGTGTTTTTTCAGGTATATTATATTTCTATTGAAAAATAGATATATAATTTTAAAAAATTAAATTAAAATTTTAAATAAAAATATTTATTTGTAATAAAAAATTAATTTATAGATATTTGACCTAAAAAATATATATCAATTATGATAGAATAATAGCGTCGTATGCTTTCATATGGGCTTGCAATACAAATTTTCAAAATAAAAAGATACAACATTTATTGTGCAATAGCAACAATAAGTGATATACTAATTTATTTTGGAAAGTTGCATGATATGCTCTTATGAGAGTATATTATAGTATTATTCTATTACAATCGATAAGTATTATTTAGATCAAATAGTTATAAATTTATTTTTAGTTACAAATGAATACTTTTAGTTCAAAAATAAAAATTTTATTTTTTAAAAAAATATATATCTATTTTTCAATAGAAATAAAATATACTTGAGAGAACACTTCTCTCAATGGTTGTATGTGAATAGATAGAGAAAAGATCGGGTAAAACGGTGATAGAGAGGAGGGCAGAGAGAGGTAGAGAGAAAAAGGGAGAGAGGATGGGCAAAGAGATGGAGGTAGAGAAAGAAATTGAGAGAGAAGGCAAGAAGAGAGAAAGTGTTGCCACGCTGAATATTTTATTTTTGGGTAATTATATTGCCACATGACGTGAAAA